CTGCTGAGGAGTTTCATACTAGGACGAGACGGCCGTCCAGTTAATCTAGGTTCTCAATGGTGGTCTAGCTGGATGGTATCATGAATTCAACTGTTAAAATTACTACAATCTCCACAAATCCCCATTCTAATAATGTTAACAGTTTTTCATAATATATTTTATTGACAACTAAGTCGAAAATACCTGTATAACAGCCGAGTAATTAAAGAAGAAACCCATAACCTAATTAAGATTTAGATTTAAAGTGTACAGTTTTTTTATTTTTAAAATATTATTTGCATCATCATAGACACTGATATTACTGATGACTTCATATTTTCTGCTTGAGCATATTATTTTTACATTTATTAATACAACGTAATGAATCAGTAACTAACGAATAAATAATTATCAGTGTGGGCTTGTGGAGTGTTTAGTTTTTGATTGAGATCATGAATCGATTGATGTGAGACCACCATTTAAAGCCTAGAAGCATTGAACGGCAGTTTCGTTCTGGTTTCGAATCCCGTGGGCAAGATCGTGGATGTTCACTCCTGAGGAGTCCTATACTAGAACGAAACGGTCATCTAGTGCTTCTAGATCTTCGATAGTGATCTAACATCAATCGATTCATGATCTCATTCGAATAGGTAATTGTTTCAATAAACTTATATCTTCCCTAATATCCAGGCCTTATGATATTAATGAATAAAAAAATAATTAACTGAAAACATCTTTTTTGAAGTGATGTTTTCATGAATATTCCCTATTCAAATGTAGTTCTGGTCTATAATGTTCACTGTATTCTCTTAATTAAGGGCAATCTAGCCTCAACTCGACAAAAGGTAGCCAATAAACTATGTTTAAATTATGTTAAATTGTACTCTTTTTATGAAATCACATAACTAAATAATAAACTAAGTTGTCTGAATGTCTGTCATAATTTATTTAAAAATATTTTTCATAGATTTGATAGGAAAAAAGTGGTATCTCTTTGGATACAAAGATGTATGATGGCTAATAGTGGAATCCAGGACGCACGTTTTGTCCTATTCAGGACTGGTCAGCTGGATGTACCTTCATCTCAGAGTTGATGTTCACTCTGTGACTCAAAACCAATGTCATTCGCTTCAAACTCCATTGTGTTGTCCTCTGCTAGCCTCCATCCATCTTTACTTCCAAAGCTTGTGATTTAAAACAATACCGAGGCAATCCGTAGAGGATGTCTATATGCCAACAAGAAACTGACCAGTTGCAGTCCTAAAATAACAATGGGACGATACAAGCAAACAACATCAAGTGAATTTATTTCCTTTGATAGGCTTAGGAACTTTAATGTCATTAAAATGAATTGATATCATCAAACTATTTTAATTAGCATATCTTTGAGAATCTTGATGTGTTTTAAATTTATAAGTCGTTTCTCAATAGTTTTGAGTAATTTAGTCTTTTAAAAAGTGATTCATTTACATTTAAATGAAATGTTTTATTTTTCTTTGTGAATGAGATAACTTTGTTACATTACTCGAAGAAGGTTTTCACCTTTAGGTCAATTGTAGAAAATCGTGTTGAACTGTTTAGTTGACACATATATATCATCCATGTAACTTATATTTATTTGACCACATAAATATTGGTACAAAGCGGCGCTGAATACATATGCGCTACGCAAGTCATTTGATTTGTGTAAGTGTTGTGATACTGCCCAGGCAACCAACTGAAGCTGGAGGTTTTCTTAGGGGGTCACTCTCATGAGCCTAGAGTTAGAGGTCTAATCCACAGGAAAGTTGACCAACGCTAGGGACTGCAGTCTCATGGTAGCAGGTGACCAATAATATGTTCATACGCCCTTTTTCCCCTCTAAATCTTGGAGTCCATGTGAATCATTGGTTTGGGATCAGGGTTTTCCAACTCCTCTGGGTTGGTCCTCCGTAAACACCAACCCGGTTAAAGCGCTGGAAATTCACTTTTCGTCCCCTCAGTTTCGTTAACAACAGTTATGCCGCGAGAAAGCAATGAGTAGGACTTCCCTGTTAGTGGTTGTATGCACATAGCCACTTGAGAGCATTTCTAGAGGGAGAGCGAACTCTCACCATCCTTGTCCGTACCATAGCTAAACTTCTTGATGGTAAATCATCTGTAATATTAGCTAAAATGTTATAGTTTGTAATCTGAGCACACCTTGTATGTTGAGAGCTTTTCAACTACTATGTGAATAGTATATAAATTGAATTCAGTGTGTTTTATTTCCACTGCTAAGATATAATCTTTAGAATATTTTAATTATAAAATATACATCCTAGTTACATATATATTGATAACGTGATTATTTGTGTTTACATAGATTTTCTGTAAATTGGGATTTTCGAATGAGAAGTAATTAAACTGATATATATATATATATATATATATATATATATATATATATCAGTTTTAGGGTTGTGGAGATTGTTAAGTTTTTAATTGAAATCATGAGTCGATTGAAGCTAGACCACCATGGAAAACCTGGAAGAACTGTACGGCCGTTTCGTCCTAGTATGGGACTCCTCAGCAGTGCGCATCCACGATCCTGCACCCCGCGAGATTCGAACCCAGAACCTATCAGTCTCGCACCAGGCGCTTAACGAACTAGACCACTGAGCCGGCATCTAATGGTGTTAATGTCTAACCTCAACCAATCCACGAAATTGCGCAACCATCTTTCATTGTACTGAGGTAGACACCTGTGTTCTACCCGACAAGGATTAGCTTCACTGGTCACCGCTTGTCACCAGAACTCCGAGAATTTTCTCACGAAGCTATATATATAGTAAATCTATATTGCGGTATATAAGATACCACAATTACATTGTCTTATTAATCATAAACTCAAAAAAATAAGTGAGCTGAGAAACCAAAGAAGAAAAAATATTCTGTGAATAATTTATTTTTATATGAACATTTTAAAAAAATGGTAGATCTGATTATACTATGTTTGAAGCGATTACGAGTTCACCTAGTCTGCCAACAGAACAAAGACTCTGTGATCAATGACCAATAAGCTAGCTATTTGGATGCGTCCTAGCCCCGTTAATTAAAGAGAGAAGTTCAATTTCGAAACCGCGGAAATATATTCCTCAAGCAGCCAGAAACACAAGTGATCCCGATCAATCTAATCGGAAATACATTCATTTATATATTGGTTTGTACCCCCAATTTTTTGGTTTTGATTATTAATCAGAATAAATCACATATATGTATATCGTATGTTATACTGAATAAAATGTCATAGGGGAAAACAAAACCGAATACTATACATAGTGATCATCAAATCGAATTAAAATGGAATTAATGTCGAATAAAAATCATAATGAGTAAATCAATTTAATTTTGACTTTTCATCCTGTCAATAACAGGGTACTTACTTACTTACTTACTTACTTACTTACTTACTTACTTACTTACGCCTGTTACTCCTCGTGAAGGGGCATAGGCTGCTCACCAGCATTCTCCATCCAACCCTGTCCTGGGCAATCCTTCCCAGCTCCTTCCAGTTCCCATTCATCCCTTTCATATCTGCTTCTATTTCTCGGCGTAATGTGTTCTTTGGCCTTCCTCTTTTCTGTTTCCCTTCAGGATTCCAAGTTAGGGCTTGCCTCGTGATGCAGTTCGATGATTTGCGTAATGTATGTCCTATCAATTTTCATCGTCTTTTCCTAATTTCCTCTTCAGCTGGAAGCTGGTTTGTTCTCTTACACAGAAAGCTGTTGCTGATGGTATGCGGGTCAATAACAGGTTAAGGTGTTAAAATGTCAAATCATAAATTCACAGAAACATAATGTAAATGTCATTAGCCTTATAATCTCCTTTCTTTTTTAAACTACCATTCATGAGTATATAATCTTGTAATGTTTACATAATCAGGACAATGAGTTCTGAAAAAAAATTTATTGCTTAAAAAACGGATACAGTTGATGGATATCTAACTTAGAAAGTACTAGTCTTTGTGATAAAAAAGTGAATGAGTCTAAAAAGATCCAGAGTTATAAGCAAAGATAGATGGTGGCTAGTAGTGGAATTGAGGATGCGCGTTTCGTCGTATTTCGGACTCGTCAGCTCGATGTATTTTCATCACAGAGTTGATATTCACTCCGAGACTTGGACTCAGTATAATACAGAATGAATTGAGGATTCAGAATTGTCACAAATAATAGCTCATGGATTCTGAATCGCGAACTACTAGAAGGAATGTCGTTTATAAATAATCTAAATTAGTTTTGGACAGAAAGACTTAGTTTAATAAATTTTATCATTTTATACAATTCACATATCTGTGTCAATTCAAGGGTATTTTAAGAAGTCATGAAGAGTATGATCATTTGTTACATTCTGTAGTCGTCCGATACGGATGTAGATACATATGCTTCCTATAAGCGAGTCTAATCTGATACATGTGTGAGAAGATTAAGAATCACTAGTAGTTGATCACTGGTAAAACTAATAATCATCTGCTCATTAGTGACTGGCTTCAAGAGGTAAATCCTGGAGTTCTAGTGAGAAGCCGTGACCAGTAGAGTTAAACCTGGTCTGTTGTGAGATAGTAACTCACTGAAGACAATGATGAACGGTGGCGCAATTTCGTGGATTGGTTGAAGTTAGACATTAAAACTGGGTGGATGCCAGCTCAGTGGTCTAGAGGTTAGGTGTTCATGCGCTATACCGATAAGTCCTGCGTTCGAATTCCGCGTGCAGAATAGTGGATTCTCACTGTTGAGGGGTCCCATACTAGAATGAAACGACCGTCCAGTACTTCCAGGTTTTCCATGGTGGTTTAGCTTTAATTGACTCAAGAATTCAACTATTAAATCACATGCATGTGATATATCTGAATCCAACCAATCTACCATCAACATAAATTTCTGTATATATTCTCAAGCCTTTATCCAATATTTCAAGTTATCGTTTTATTATAGAATAAATATATTACTAAATCTACTGAAATCTAAGTTGACCATTTAATTTTCTTTATTTTTTTTCTATAGAAAATGATTCTATTAATTGCAATCGGTGGTAGAGCATCATTAATTCTTTTCATTATTCTATTGTCTACAATTATACCAAAGATGTAATGATTTTATTTATTTTGGTTAAATATCTTCAGAACTTTACACATACTACTTAAATGTTAGTGTTGACAAAAGCTATTATGACACCTCTTTCTGTATAAATTAATCAAATAATCAACCGAATTACTGAAACAAACAAAGTCTTCTAACATTTTCAGTATTTCTACAATCCAAAACTGACAATCATTGTGTTCACTAGCGAATAATGTCAAAAGGAAATTTCTGAAGTTCGATTGTAAAGCCTTGGCCAGTAGATCTTATCTGTATCGGGTACCTATCAAAGACAATGGAAGATACTCGCGCAATTTCATGAATTGGTTGGAGTTAGGAATTAACAACGTTAAATCCTGATTCAGATGTTAAACTTTCGTGGACGGGATCGAGAGTACTGTGTTCAGTTCCCTATAGCAATGTTGTGGCTTAGCGTTGCCGAGGAGTCCCATACTTGAACAAAACGGCCATTCATTATGATGTGTGGGTGAGAGTACTAGTGATTGTTTAGTCAGAGAGGAGGTAAGTGACTTATATATTCTCCTATCCTTATTACTATTGATTGATGTTGGGTTGTTGTTGGCTTTTGGTGTGGAAATATATTAACGTTCTCGTCAGGTTAATCACTTGTTCTTGATATGAGTTGTGTTGAAGTCCTGTAGAATAGAACAGTATAGACATTCTTCTAAAGTAAATTAACGTCTCATTCTTAAGATGAAGAAAAACTGACCGTTATAACACATTATTTCCAGGTTTCTAGCGGTGGTCTAACTTTGACCAGTTCATAGTTTCAGTTAGATAAAAAATCCATACAATTCCATGCTGACTATTATAAATCAGTTTTATCTATTTAGTGCAATTATATGTTTGTATCACTACTAAATTATTTATTTACTTTATTGGTTATTGTTAAAGCTTGCACATATTGCACTGCTCCTAAATACAAAAAGTTAAGCGTTCGCACGCGAGACTGAAGGCCTTAGGTTCGAATTCAGCGAACGGGATCGTGAATGCTCATTTTTGATGAGTCTCACAATAGGACGAAACAGTTGTCCAGTACTTCCAGGTTTTCGACGGTGGTCTAACATCAATAGGTTCATGATCTCAATCAAATACGAAAAGTGTTTAACATTTATCCAGTAGAAAGTCATTTAATCACACATGACTTAACATGTTATATAGTACTTCACAGTTTTACACAGAATTGGTAATAAACGAAAATCGTACGCCTAAGATTAAGTAAGCAAACTCAAAATCAACAATATGAGATTTTTTAAAAATGACAATCAGGAAGTGCTCAATATGCATTGGTTATACAATAAGAATTTCGAAAGTAAGAGGACTAAATCCTATTCTTTCAACTGTATTTTTCAATATGAATCACTTTTTTCGCCATCTGCTACAATACACTATCTTTCATTAAATAATTTTTAACATAAAGTGTTGTAGTGAATGAGGATACAAGTAGGGACAATCAAATGTGTCTCGACACAAACTTACAGAATCTCGTACTAAAATCTGAGAACTATACAGTAAATACTTCATTTGCAGAATGTCAATCAATCATCTCAGATTTCATTGTTTTTTGTTTGTTTTCATAGCAATCATTCTTTGTTCTCATTCTCTTTTCGTTGATTTTCTTAACCTTCCGTTACTAGACATTTCACTTTCGATTAATGATACATACTACTTATATTTGTCGACATCAGTAGCACACACCACAGTATACGTATATAGATTTTATTGAAATAATGTTAACTCTTTTTAACTCATATTTAAAAGTGTATATCTTACAAAGTACATGCTTATTTTAGGAACATGCACTGAGAGTAGATGAACTTAAAAGTATATATAGAAAGAGAGAAAGAGAGAAGTAAATGTATATTGATTATAAAAAGATGTTAACCAAATAATAGAAAATATAATTCTATTCAATAATAGTCTAAATATTTTCTGTTTAGCTTTATATGATAAATTTACTTGGAAACATAAGGATTCATTGAAACATCAACATTGAGATACTACAGGTACATCTAGCTGACGAGTCCAGAATAGGATGAAACACGCATCCTGTATTCCACTGCTTATAATTCAGTGAAACAATTCAAATTAGTTATAATTAACGTAGAGCTTGATATATGTACGCTGTTCCAAATTCCCATATTACATGAAGACAAGGTGGAATTAACATGTTGAATAATAAGAGAATAGAAATACTAAAGTATCAGTGATAATGAGGAAGATTAAACATTATGAATATTTATACACAGATAGATAGTGGCTAGCAGTAGAATCCAAGATGCACGTTTCGTCCTATTTGGAACTCTTCAGCTGGATGTACCTGACAACAATCAATTGCAGTCCTAAATAACGATAGGAAGATACAAGTAAATAACATCAAGTGAATCAGGAATATTCTTTGAAAAAAGGGATGAAACGATATATATATATATATATATATATATATATATATATATATATATATATATATATATATATATATATATATATATATATATATGAAGAAATACTAGAACTCAAGAGCTAACAAAAGATAGAAAGTAAATTCCTCTGAGTCATATAACCTATTCTTAGACATGTTACCTACAGTCTTGATCAATTAATTCCGGCTATCGTGAAAACTCTAACCAAGCGATTTGGATCTATAAACATTACTCAGTTCATCAGTTGGTGATTTTATAAACTGTTGTCATGTCTTGATTTTCCTTTCCCTAACTTTCTTCTAACTTACTCATACACCAATCAACAATATACGGTGAAATAGATTGTGATTATTTATATGTAACACATCTTTCACTCACATCAATCTAAGATTTACAACCGTATCACAATCAGACCTTTATTAAATGAATTAACAGTTGAATGAAATATCAAAAAATGATTTAGTAAGTGAACGAGATCTCTAATTGTTAAAATGTGAATGAACAGAATGCCAATTTACAATAGCTAAATGATAACTACAAATTACAAGACTAAGATTAATAATATAAGCCATCACTTTGTGGTGTGGGTTACTTATATAAGTAGTATATAACAGTGGTCAGGCATAGAATGTATTTCAGTAGAAGATCGATAAGGAACGCAATTAGTACGAAAATGCATGAACAATGAAATCTGAGACAATCGATTGATATTTTTCAAATTAAGTATTTACTAAATGGTTCTCAGACTTCGGTGAGATGCTCTGTGATTTCGTGTCACTTACATTCGATTGTCCCCACTGGTGTTCTTGTTCACTATAAATTGATCAGATAATAAAAGACTATCCATCATAAAAAGTTTGATCAGGAAATAAAATAACATGCTTATACATAAAATGGTATTACAAAGTAAACATGATTAGATATCATGAACGGTTGCACAATATGTCAGTTCTTAAATTTATTCTCTCTTCAGTACATTCAGTAAGACCTAGCTGTTAAGCGTTATTTGTTCTTGATCCATCATCTTAGAGATGTTTGGTTCTTTCTTATTATTATGAAAGTTCATTATAATAGAATGAATAACAGTACTTTATATTTTCATTTGTATTGGTTGTTTGAATATTCTCATCAACGTTTTGCATTGTTGTTAATCAGTGTGTTTTTATTATATGTACATATCGAGGTAATCCGCACAGTGGTAACATATGTCAATATGAGACCGATCAGTTACAGTCCTAAACATCAATGAAAAGTATCAAACAACCAATATAAAAATCAGTTAAAACATCACCCTATTGGACAAGTTAGTGACTATCTAGACTCAGTAGCTAAGTGGATAACGCAATTGCATTCGGAGAGAACGGTACCAGGTTCGATTCATCTCTGGAATGCAGGTAAATCAAACTGATAAGTCCCAAATATTAAAAAACAAATGTCCCTGATTTCACTGCTAGTCAGAGTTCAACCCCATTTAAAACTACTTTATATACGTGCTCATTCTCATATTAATATGGAAATTTGGTTAGTTTGTAAATAGATATTAGATGTTATTTACAACGGTAAATTATCGTCACAGAAAAATATATTGTAATTCGTCTAAAAAGCTGAAGTTTCGCATTCAGACTGTCAGACGGTACAAGGAGGCATCAAGCATATATGCACCACGCGAATCATTCAGTTTGTGTGAGGGCTGTGATACTATTCAGGCGCCCAAACGGAGACAAATGGTTTTCTTAGGGAGCCACTCTTCGAGCTTTGATCCAAAGGTCTAATCCATAAGATAGTAGGCCAACGTTAGGAGATGCAGTCTCATGGTAGCCGGTGGCCAACAATAAGTTCATACGCTATTTGTTTCTTTAGGATCCTGGAGTCAATATGCATCATTGGTTTGGAATCCGGGTTTTCCAACTCCCCTAGGTGGATCCTCCGTAACCACTAACTCGGTTAAATAGCCTGACATTCGCTTTTTGTCCTCTCAGTTTCGTAGAAAACACTCCCTTCATGAGGAGGTAGTGATTGGGACTTCTCTGGCAGAAGCTATATACGCGTAGCCATGTGAGAGCATTTCGAGAGGGAGAGCTGACTCTTTTCACCCTCAACCCTACAATGGCACTTCGAGGCGTAAAATACGTGATAATATTAATGGTTTCAGGTTTATTTACTTATTTCAACCCAACATTTTTATCCGCTAGGAATAGACTAAAAGTTTTTAATCCTTATTAATTTCATAATACAATTCAGAACAAGTATTCCGACCAGCTTTATTAATTTTCATTCATAATGTAGTTTACATTAATATTCATATCCATCACATATCACTTCAAACACCAAGATAATTCTCTCTGACAACAAAAGGTTTAAGTTCTTGGTGGTGACACTTATACTGAACTACTTTTTTTCAAAAAAACTTCGATTGATTTTACGGTAATAAATCTTAATGAATTTAAGATTTAATCGACCAACAGTGATCCGCTTAGAGTTAATTTGATATATATAAATTTAACTACTTGCAAGTAGCTCGTCGAACGTCCCTGCATTAACAAATATTCACTAAACGAATGAAAACTA